CGCGCTCGGGCTCCGCCGGCCCGCCTGTCCGTGGCTGCGGCACCTGCGGCCCTCGCTGCCGGCAGCCACCGGCCCGCGCCGGCAGAGAGCCCCCGGCCGGGGTGCGCCGGTGCAGGACCGGCTGCAGGGCGGTGTGCGGCTCGGTGTTCCGATCCGTGCTGGCCCCCGGGGCGGGCATTGAACCGCGGCAGACCGCGGTCACCTCCGCTGCCTGCAGCGTGGGCTGACAGCGCCCGGTAACCGCTTAACCCTGCGGCTGTCCTTGGCCGGCTGGCTCCCGTGCCCTGCTCACACGTACTGCATTTGAACAGCAGACACGCACAGCTTCATGCGCACACACGTGTGTGTGCATACCTACGGCATGAGAAGGATCGCTTCTCTTCCAGCCACCAGCTGGAGCCTTCAGCATGAGACTTGATTTTAGACATCCTGTAAATGTAGGCGGGCAAGTGTTGACAGCTGTTTGTAATGTAATGACACCTTTGTGTTTATAAATGCGTGCTTATACTGCATTATGAACAACTTACAAGTAACTGTATAGTTAGAGTTTGTTATACATATATGTAGAGAAAAATTGTTCATAATGCAGTTTAAACAAGCTTATTAAAGTGGTATTTTAGCAATATGTAACCTTTGTCAGCTCTCAGTGCGATTGTAAAGAATAGGAAGAAGTCAGATGGAATATTCAAACGTTTTACAATACTAGTGTGAAAATCAGGAGGTTTTAGGCTGAATGCTAGTTAACCTGTTAAATGGACTCGAAAAATTATAGTAGTAGTTTGATTTCCATTTTAACAACGATATGGGAAGTAAATTTTGATTATGATGTAATACAGGATTTTTGGAGAGATAGAAAGAAATTCCAGAACTTGGCAAACCTCTGATGGCAGAAGTGAGAACAGTAGATGTACGAAATTCAGAAGTGGAGGATTGAAAGGGAGAATAGTGGAGTCGGTGAGGGTGAGGAAAGGTTGACTGGATTTTGACTGTCTGTAAAAGAAGAAAAGGTCCTGAATTCATATCAAGTAGAAACCATGAATGTGCATCAATAGCCTGTAGCATGTAAGAGTCAGGGCAGGGGCAGGCAGACCTTGAAGGCCACGTGAAGAAGTCCAGAGAAGAGCTAGTCTGGAAAAGATAGGTTTGATCAGGAGCTGCATAAAATGCTTGGAGAATCAAATCCTGTTTATCTGGGCAGGAGTTTGTAAAGAACTTTTTCTTCCCTGTTTGATGCTCCCCTCATGCTGGAGGAGTTCTGAGGCTGTTGTCTTGTTAACAGTGTCCACCACTCAGCATTGTTATCTCCAGCCCATCTTGGCACAGTTATGTACTCCCATGCAGCATGTCATTGTTTTGATACCCATGAAAGCCCAGCACTGGGGTTTCCACGTGTAGCAGGGGTTTGTGCTCATCCTTGTGGAAGCAGCAGCTGCTTTGCTCTCAAGAAGCCATGGCTGGAGAACCAGTTGCTGCTTTGCCTGTTGTTGGAGCTGCCCAGCACTGGCCTTCTGGTTTGCCTCTGTTGAAATGAGCTGTACTGTCAAGTTCATAGATTCCTTACCTGAACTGGTCCCTCACTGTTGGTATACAGGCTGTTGCTTTAGCTGATGTGTTCCATCCTCTGTTTCAGTGTGCAGTGACCTGCTGGAAGGTGATGGCTCCTTGAAAGGTGTGGCCTGGGACGGTGCATGCCAGGGTCACTTTGACGTAATAACAGTTATAAAAGCAATTCTGAGAAGTCATGTGAAACGAGAGGGAAATATTAATCACTTGGTACATGAGTCACTGGCTAATTCGACCAAGACTTCTTTCCCCAAGTGAAGGCTGTCTTTTTAAACTGACCCAAAGTGCTAATGCCACGTAGCAAGACTGAAATATTTCCATTCTCACTGAAAAAGCTCCAACAGAAGGCAGAGGGCAAATTTAGCCATGTGATCCAGGAAGAGGTGCAATCAGAACGATTCCTTCAGGGAAAAAAGGGAACAGGAAGCAGCCCTGTCCAGTGTCTCCTGAAGCTGCTTGTTCATCTGAGGTACTGTGATTAGGAGATAGACACACAGCAGTTCTGCAGAACGTAAGCCAGAGAAATCACAGTATCTTTTGTTAATGGCTTCCTCCTCACATGAAGCTCTTCTCCTAATTTCTTAACCTTAAAGGAAAAGAGTAGAATGATATAAATTTTTTCCTTAATTTTGCTGCAGTTGTAGAACACAGACTTGACACCACTGGTGGAAGAGAGCTGCAAATGTTTTTTCACAGCAATTATTTTAGGATAGACCTTTAAACTTTCCATTTTAACTCCACAGTAAACTGGTCCTCAGCAAATAAAATTGTCTGGTTTTGCATCACTCTGAGACTGTTCCTTTCTTAACAATTTATTGTCTGGCATGCTAGGAATGCACTTTTTTTAATAAAGCACCCAGGGAAACATTAATGGATAGAGGGGAACTCAGGTCACTTGATACTCAATTTATGATTGACTCCATGCTATCTGGGACACTACAGAAAGTGGGAAAAATTGATCAATACAAAGTGCTGAGGATTGTGGTGCTCTAGAGAGCTGACCCAGTGGAGTTAAGTTGGAGTTTGTCTTACTGATCCTGGCTTAGAGCTGGCTCTACACAAACCAGATCTGAACTAGCAGGGGCCAGTGCTGCACCAAGATTAGGCATTGTAGCGTTCCAGATGACTCTACAAAGTCTGCACAGTGCTTCCTGCCTTCCCTTCCCCAGCCTGACCCGCGGCAGGGGCTCCAGCAGGCTCTGCCAGAAGCCGGTTTTGCAGAACTGTTGGTTCAGGATCATTGATCCCTGCCGTGAAGTGGCAAGCAGGGTGGCTGCATGGTGTTGGGCTGGAGCTTAGCAGCAAGTCAGACTGGCTGCCTGCACCCTTGGCACAGCTAATCATAACCCTGTTGAATTGCCCATTGATCACTGAGTTGTGTCTGTGTTAATATCCAACAAGTCAAATCCATTATGAGCTTGGGTAATTAAACCACCAAAGGGGGGGCTTGATTCCAGGCCTGTTAGTAGTTTTGATACAAAGTGTTCATAGAATGTGCTTTTATAGGCTGCAGCACTCAGGCCTGTAGATGGTGTGCCCAGCTTAAATATATTGTTGGTCCTTGGTCTCTGTTGTCTTGCCACACAACTCCTCAAATTATTTTGATATTTAAGGTCAGTTACATCCTGTCCTACTTGCTTTGCTGAAGCTGAAATCAGGGCTTGTATGCAAACTTCAGATGCTGAAGGTGTGAAGGAAATCTAGCTTTTACCTTAGCTGCTGGATAAGGGTGCTTTGAGCTCTTGCTGTCATTCTAAACCAGTCAAGTGTATTTCCATCATGGCTATGGTGCTATTTTCTAATTGCTTTTAAAGAGTTCTTATCTTCTCCAATCCTGCAGGTTTGATGTGAGACAAATATGTAATAACAGTAGGGGGAACTAATTGGAATATTTTTAAATGTGTTCTACTTTTGAGCGTTGTTATGCTGAGCTAGGAGTGCAGTCAATGATTACACAGGTATGAAGTGAAACATCAAAGAATGTGGAATTCCTGACTAACTGACAGCAGTAGAAATTTTGCCACTGGAAGGAATTCTGGTCTTCTGGAGTTCAAAGGCTCCATAGCTTTAGAAAAAAAATTTAAAACCTCTAGAAGCTGCATTCATGACTGTAGGAGTGAACATCTTGGGATGTTTTATCATCATATCCAGTAGCTACCCTTTACCTTCTCATTCATAGCAAATTCTATTGGAAATCTGTTCCTTCTTAAAGAGGAAAGTGTGCATGAGAAGGTCAAAACTTCTGGATCCAGAACTGGAAAATGCAAGCACCAAATTTAACATCACTGCATCATAAAGCACCCTGGGAGGAGACAAAGGATAAAGAAGGGCACAGGTGTTCTCCTGCTCTAGCACAGGGGAAGGTGGAATGTCTGCAGACTGGAGCATGGGAATGGTGGGTCCCGTGTCTGATTCAGATCTCAGGGAAAAACCAAAGTCCTTCTAGGATGGGATTGTCTTCTTGCAGTACTGATACATCCTTTTCTCTCTGACAGGGAAACTGTACTCTGGCAAGATGCCCTCTGTCTGGTGAGTCTTACACTTTTATTTCATTTCAGGCTACCTAGAAAGAACAGAGCTGGTTATGGAGGTTGGTAATAGGTCTAATTGGGGTTTATTTCTGTCAGTCAGGTAGGGAAGAAGCAGTGGAATGGGCTAAGTTTCCATGGGAGTGCCTCCCTTGCCTGATGTACATGCTGCCTGATCCATTTGGCTCTGGTGAAGATTTCACAGCAGCAGCACAGTGTATTTCAGGCATTGCACTTCTCAAAGCACATGCTGTTGCAGAGCCCTAGCTCTATGGTGATAAACTCCTTTGAAAATGATGGATGGATATTAAGTGACATGTTAGATCTAGTGTGCCTGTGAACTCTGCTTCAATGCTTAAACTGTTTTTCCTTACAGCTCTGTTTTTTCTAGCTGTACTGTAGAAATTGTGCTGCTTTTTTAAAAAATCAAGTGGGGAAATGGTTCTTCCCTCTGGCATTGTGTAATTGAGATAATTATGTCCTTCAATTACTATGCTAACTCTCTTTAAGATCAGTCTGGAAAACTGCCCAGTGCCCTGTAAGTGACAAAGGACAGGAGTCCAGTTCATAATAAAAAATGCAGTGTCAGGGCATGTGAGCAGTGTGGGAAGGGGACAGTGGGGTATCTGAAACTGGGAAGTTGTGCAAGTATTTCCCTATTGTGAGTTTTGGAAAATAATTTTCTCTGGGCAGGGAGTGGGCAGAGAAGAGGGGTGGTGGTGGT